TGGTGGTGGTGGTGGTGGTGGTGGTGGTGGTGGTGGTGGTGGTGGTGGTGGTGGTGGTGGTGGTAGTGGTACTCACTAATGGCAATCACACGTTGTTTGAGCTGGAATTCTCTCGCTGGAAATTCGTTCATTGTTATAATCCCATTAGGCCGGTGCCGAAGTGAGAAATTCGTTATTGTAAGAACAGCATGCATAGAGCGTAAGTCCGGTTGCATTGAACGAAACATGTAACCGGAGACAGTCGATTTAAGGCTTCATCAAACACCCTGAATCAGTGGTTAGCTCTTTCTTTCGCTACATTACTGAACTGTTCAGTTGCCTCCTAATGCACACTGAGCATACTGCTCATCAAAATTAGTAGATTAACCGATTTAATTTTGTTTGTATGTGCAATTATCAGGGTGGTCGTGATGGGCTCATGGTCTATCGTGTGTGCTTAGGTCCATAAGTTCCCAGAATTTGGCCCTGATCAAGTCAAAGGAACTGAATGACAATTGGTTGATCTCCCAACCGAGGGCGATATCACAAAACTCATTTCGAATCTCGGATTATCAGCGGTTGTAAATAGAAATAAGAAACATAGGAACATTATGATGAAGGGTCACTACAGTACGACTATCAATGACGCAACAAAGATAGAGTATGACAAATGTTTTTAAAGTACCAGTACTACTGCGCACATAATTACGCTTAAAATCTAATCAACTGGGGCTACCTGTGCATTCATTCAGATGTACTGGTTGCCTTGTGAATCCTCCGTTAGTTACCGAGCCATTTGATTGACTTGCAATCTGATGCTCGATTCATCAAAAAAGATCACAAGTAACTGGTTTGAGAACAGTACCGGTTTTCCAGCGATGACTACCACTTTCAACGTGTCTACATTGGTTTTTCAGGGTCAAATTAACAACCGGTAAAAATCATCCACCCCCCCCCCTTGTCCTCCAAACTTACCAAACCTTTGAGTTCTTCACTCTGCGAGCGAATCGCCTCTTGATATTTGAACAGAAAGCGAACTGTCCACGGGACTGGGATGCACTTCTGTTCCAACATGCCGTCGACCATCAATTCTGTCGTAAGAAATAAAGCAGCATTCAACTGAGGCTTATTCAAATCACTGAGAAGATTTGGAGGCACCGTGCAACTCTTTTGCTCATCTTAATGATCATTAGCAATGCACATATCACTCGAATCACTCACCGCTGAAGCCACGTTGTGTTGGGTATTTCACATCTAAACAGTTGGGATAGAGTAGAAGATTATGCAACATGATGACGATTGAGAAAAAGGTGAATATTTTAAATAAATCTGCCCACCAAACCCTGTGAATAAATGAGGTCAAACGAGACAATCCTATGGTAACTCCTTTCCTGTGTTAAATGCTGTTCACTTCTGTCGATCAAACACGCGCTCTGTAAGGACTGCGGGGGTCTATAGCAAGTGGACATCCGTTACCAAGACTGTTGTTGTCCAGTTGACGGTGTGCAAAGCCAAATCGCGGAGTCGGACAGGTGTGAGACTATACACGTTGTTCACATGAAACCAAAACCATTTGGAACCAACTTGGGTAATCAGCTGACGACGAGGAGATTCCTATTCTGTCAGAGCCTGGGTGAATAAGCAACATTCATCTATCCTAACAAGGATGAAACTACCGTATTGTGAGTGTATGTTCGGCAATGGCTAAAAGTGTGTCCAACATGCTCGCTATTCGAAAACACAAAGAGAGTAACCGGTTTCAGTCAGTAGAGTATTTCTTCCAATGTACAAATCCCAAATGCATTTTTTGTTTGAAATCCAGGTATTTTACCTGAAATGGCTGAGTAAGAGAGGCAGATATGAGAGAATTATCATTATTTTTAACATAGTGCAAGCGATAAATCCAACGTGATCATACGAATTCGTGTCTTGGGTGCACATCCTACGTTTCACGTGCAATCGGCCATCATTGTCAACCACTTGCCTGACCAGTCCGGGTTTTATTATTTGCTTTTATCTTTTCTTTCCGTGGAACTGGAATTCTTGCCTAGCACATCAGTGTGAATTTGGTCATGATAAACGAGGCCGGTTCGTGAGAGGTTTTATGAACTACCCCAAGTTGCGTGTTTGCACGGAGTTTGTGGGGAATCGCATCTCATATCCCTGAAAGATAAAACTCATTTCCGTTTCAGTTTCTGGTTGCATAACCCATGAGCTGGCGTTGTTGTTTGGCGGTTCTAGTTGCCGTTTTTGGCCAACCAATCGATCACTTCTTGATGAAATGGATTAAGTTGAGATGGTAAAAGGTGAGTGCAGTAGGCACATAAAGATACCGGATGCTCGTCGGGTAGATAAGCACAAGCATTCAGTCGTAATACACGGTATGATATATATATATATATATATACACGTTCAGAATTTGTCTTGTTACACATTTGCATGTTTCAAGCACGTCCGGTTTATGAAAGGACAGAAATCCAGGAATCCAAAGGTAGGTGAAATGATTTCGTAAAGTCTGAATCGACCCAGACCTTGCGTCTGTGTCGATAAGAAAAAGTTTATCCATACTTATACCTTTATTTTAAGATGGGAAATAATTCTGTTATCGTGAGCTCGAGCGATAGTTGTTTCGACTGGATACCCCGGTCTTCTTTGATTACCCATTGCACATTAGGAAATATCATTTGACAGAGAAGGAGAATGTTGAACACAGTTCCCATCATCCAGTGCTTCGTTTATCACATCTTCTCGGAAAGCCATGTGATTATTAGTTGGTAGCCCGATCTGCTTGTTGTGAAAATGTGTCAGTGTGTGGATCAGTGGAATGTTGTCGAGTGCTGACCAAATTCATTGTCGTGTATTGATTGATCGGGTGCTTATCATCACCCTTTGACAGAAGTGGTTGCTCTATACCGCTTCTGATGACTCGTACAAACTTTGATTAAGTCTTCCACCCGCTAGATTCCCGCACTCTCCGCACACATGCTGAACGAGTTTACACAAAATGATAGCAGCTATCAGTATGCTGAACTTGGCATGGGAGTATCCGGAAGTTAGCCTTGGTATTGGCTTCATTTGATGCTTCCTGCCTGCCAGGTTACAGCTCAAAGGCCAGAGAGTGTCTTCAATTAGAAATTTGGAGAAGGAGCTATGCCTCGGAATGGAAAAAAATCACATATATTCTAAACAATCTGCATATTGAAATCCCGTTCATCACGAAATACAAGAGCCACGAAGTGTTTTCAAAAACCTGCTTTGAAAAATCTGTGAACTGTTTACTCTCCTTTGTGCCTTGCTGTTTTTTCGGTAACAACCTTGATGAAAGCTGATCAAAAAGACATCAGAATATATACATAGCACCATGCTGGAGACCGAAATGCATGACTGGTATACTTGGTTATTTGAACACTTTATTCAAGTCCCAAATCTGGTGAGAAATGTACCTACCATTGTAAAAATATTGCATGCCGCAGCGCTAACCAGTCCCGTATCTGGTATTACGTCACACATGCTGTTCCCGGGTAAGATGAAAAACTTCAGAAAGCAATTTGTGTCGTGTTTATTGTGCTCATTCAGGTCCGATATCTGTATCTACCTGTATGTCTATCTGGCTTACGCGCCAGAGTACCAGCTAGCTACACATGAGATTCTTGGTCAGTGGGATGTCCGTATACACACTTCTCATAATTTCATAAAGAACTAACGTACGAATGGGGAGAAAAATTTAAATAAACTTAATAATGCACACGTCGTGTCTACAATTCACAAGCATTCTTGAAGGCAATGATTCTAGAACCAAGCGCTCGTATCGTCACCAAATCATCACCTTGGGAGGACGAGTGTTCGAATTTCACTACCACCCCCTGACTTTCCCCATTACGTGTTGCATGACTCCCGGTTGATTGGCTGCTGGGCTTTTCTGAAAATTCCATCATTAGGTATTAAATAATAAAAGAAATAAAAATGAACAAATGATGAATGAGGTTTCATAAATCAAAAAACGGAAGCATTTATTTGCCGAGATAAACTTGAAGAGAGAGTAAAACAAAGCCAGGTTGCACGATTTAAAACCAGGGCAAATTTCGCCGTATTTCAACTAGTACATTACGGCAGAACAGTACATCAGAGCACACAAAAACTCTACGAGAATCAATCGTCACATTTTAACCACTGCCAAGCCAG